AGGCGTGGTAGCGCATACCTGTAATTCCGGCTACTTGGAAGGCTGAGGCGGAAGGATCGCCGGAGCCCAGCAGGTCGAGGTTGCGGTGGCCGGGAGCGGCCACTGCACTCCAGTCTGGGCAACCGAGTGAGACTCCAACGCAAAAAAAAAAAAAAAAAATTCTGATTCCCTGGGGGCTCTTCTCTTCTTGCTCACCTCCCCCGGGGGGTGATGTCCTCCATGCCTGTGGACAGATCCTGTCCTGAGCCCCTTGTGAGTTGCAGACTTGTATTTTCACCCACGCACACCTCCAACTGCATATGTCCAGACCAGACCCCACTCAAGTCTGCATCTCTTCCCAGAGCCCCAGCCCTGAAATAGCCCCCATCGCTCCCCTCCTTCTCTCTTACAGAGCAGGTGCTACAGGAAAGCAACTCATGTCTCTTCGGTGACAGGGTCAATGCTTGATGCTTCCGTTCATGTATCCATTTATTTCATCCTTTCATTGAATAAATATGTATCAGACTTCTCTATGATACTGCAAGGTGTACAGAAATGATAGATAAGATCTCAAGAAATGTATAAACAGATGATGAAGATGTTTACAATTTTACAGAGATACCTGTCATAGGGTTATATGCTTTGTCTCAAGCAGTTTGGGCTGCTGTAATAAAGTTCCCGAGTCACACAGTGAAGTTGCATCTTGTAGACTGTAGGCAATAAAGCGAACAATAAACCTTATTTAACACAAACCATATTCATATTCTCGGTCCATTTGATTTTGGAAAAAAAAGTGTAGCATCGTTTCAGGGATTTCATTTTAACTTAAAAAATTCTTATATATTTAATTTATGAGTTAAATATAAATGTAATTATAATAGAGTTTTAAACTGATTAAAATAGACTTTTGACAAACTATAAGAAATACTTTGTTAATGTGTGTATTCCTATACACAGGCTTCTCCTGTGTATATTTTTAAAAATTAAAGAAATGTGCACTTAAAAAGTGAAAAAGATAAATAAAGTTCCCGTGCCTGGGCAGCTTATAAACCACCGAAGCTTCTTTCTCGCAGCTCTGGAGGCCTGGAGTCTGAGATCAGGGTTCCTGCGGGTTTGGGTCCTGGGGAGGGCTGTCTTCCAGTGTGCATATGGCCATCTTCTCACATGCTAAAACGAGGTGGAGAGCGCTCTCTGGGACCCCTTTTATAGGGGCACACATCCCATTAGTGTGGATTCCACCCTCATGACCTCATTACCTGCCAGAGACTCCACCTCCTGATACCATCACCTTGGGGGCAGGGATTTCAACATGCGGATGGGGTCAGGAGACAGACATTCAGTCCATGGCAGGCTCTAAGAGGTAAGCGGTCAGCCTTCATCCCATGGGCCTGGCCCTGGTTTACTCCCTCTTGCCTGTGGATTACCTGAGTATAGGATATCCCTTTTTCAGAGCAGGCTCTTCCCGTCTGCTTAAGAAGGACACATTCAAGCCATTCATTGGCTCTTTCCCAGAAGTTCACAGTCTTCAGGAAGCCTTCCCAGACTCCCTTCCCAGGCGTTCAGTCCTGCTAGTCCCTCTGGTCACACAGAATGGTGCCCCTCATATGGGCACCACCTCCCAACAAAGGCCCTTTGCATATGGTGGATGGTTTTGTCCCTCCCTGTGGCATCCCATTTGCATCTGTTCCAAGTGTGCCTTTAGGCAAGAGTTCCTCAGTATCAACGCTACTGATCTTTTGGGCTGGATAGGTCTTTGTTAGGGGTTGTCTGTGCACTGTAAGATGTGTAGCACCATCCCTGCCTTCTGCCCCCTCCATGCCTGCAGTGGCCTCCTTCCCCAAGTTGTGACAACCAAAAACATCTCCAAACATTGCCAAATGTCTCCTGGGGGCAGCATCGATCTGGCTGCGCACCACAGTCTAGACTGAAGCCTGCCCAAGAGCAGGGTCACTTCCCTATAAGCCACTGGATGCTCCCAAACCATGTTGTGGGGGATCTTATGCCTCAGTTTCCTCTCTGACCTTGAACTGTGCTAAGTGTCTCAGTTACAAAGCTAGCAGGCAGAGGTGTTGACTCAGTTGACATGCTGGAAAGCTTTTCGATCTCTGTAATTAGGTTTTGTGAGCCAGTCTATCTTCTGAGGGTCCATGTGGAAGTGTGATGTTCTACATGTATTTCTTATACTTGGCGATAAAATAAGATGATGCTATTAAGGATCTCATCGTTGTTTCCATCCCCCCTGGGCAGCATCAAGAGGACCAGCTCTTCTGAACGAGTGTCTCCTGGCGGTCGAAAGGAAAGCAACGGGGATGCCAAAGGAAACCGGAACCGGACGGGTTCCACCAGCAGCTCTTCCAGTGGCAAGAAGAACAGTGAGAGGTAAGGACATCTGGTCTCTGGGTTCCTGCCGTTCAGTTATTTTATCACCTCTTGCCCCTAAGGTGAATCAGAAGATCCCCCTTGTAATCCAACAAACTGGGAGTGCTTCCTAGAGCCTAAGGCCCTCTCCTGAGATTACTGTGGGTGCTGATCAAACACCCATTTGAGGCCAGCTGCTAGTCATGGTTATTATCAAGGTAGAAACAGTAGAATAGGAGTTCCCAGCACCCTCCTGTCGACATAGGTAGTTCCTGAGAATCACTTAGTACCAAATACTTGGAACTGGGGAACATTCTGAATTTCTACAGGGAGAACCTTACATTTCTAGTACATCTTGCTGACATTGTAAAATTAATTGTAGCGGACTGTTTAAGTTTGTCAGCAGTATTTTCTAAGACAGAATGGCCAAAAAGTTGTAATTTTATGTCAGGGACTATTTTTAATATTGATGCCAACACTAGAAATATGAGCCATTTTTCTTTCTGGTTTCATGAAATATACTTACTTGTAATTTTGAGCTTTTCTATGAGATTAGTCTGTATTAGATTATGATAAGTATCTGTGAAGCTAATAGTAACATTTTATTCCTGAATGCTACTTTTGATCATTTTAGCAGCTTGTTTTTATGTCTATATAATATACTTATATCTACATAATGCATTATGTAGATGAGATCAGTTTCTCTGGGTATATCTACCTAACGTTGCACTTTATTCTAACTTTTTAAACATTGTACTTTAATTTTGGTCTCTCTGTTTAAGCAAAGCTCAGGAAGGAATTTCGGCTTCAGAGGCTAAGCATTTTTTTTCCCCCAAATGTTCATGTAAGGAGAAGGCTTAGTCATAAAGCAATCAACTCCAACCCACAAGCTGTAAAAATTCCAAGTTTGTAAATCCGTTGCGATTCAGTCCTATAAAGGAAGCTTAAACTCTTTTTAAGTTTTATTCCTGCAAGATGACTGTTTTAGAAGAGAAGCAGATACTTCTTACACCTCTAGGAGGTCAAGTCCACTGTCAATTAGCAACTTTGATAAACCACTGACATGTCTTCTTCTAATTTAGACTATTAGTACTTCTTATCAGAAGATTATGCTAATTGGGTGATAATACCTTGGAAATAAGGTCAAGTGGTTACAACTGCAACAGAGTGTGGGTTGGGGGTGAGGAGGAACATAGCCTAAAGCTTCTTTGAATTCAGGGTAAGCCTGGAAGTTGACCTGAAATGTCTACGTCTTGGCAGTTCTTAACCACTTGGCTCCTCCTCAGCACATCTGACTTTTATTAAGAATTTCCAAAAGGAATCTGCATTGTGTAAACTCCAGATCCACTTTATCTTTTAAATCCTATGGCTTTGGTAAGTGTGCTGGGTAAATATTTCCATAAAAGCTATTTACAAAGGGATTTTTGAAAAAAATGCCTCAGTAGGAAATTTTGATTTGGAAATGAGAGACTGGGAAACTCTAATCATGTTCCCCCAAATAATCCAGACAACTAAACATGTCCACTTAGAAACAAATTCTTTGTCTCATCAGAATCCAGGAATGGTCGAGGCCAGCATAGCACAGAGCTGGTTGAGTTTCCTGCACCCAGGGGGTTTTGGAGACTGGACTACTGTCTTCTCTTGGGTAATTGCTAGTACTGGCAGGGCCCTTAGGAATAACAGCAGCAGTGACTCAGACAAAGCAGCAGCTAAGAAGCAGCAGAAGTGCAGGTCCAGTTGGTAAATCAGTTGCTGCCTGATCCCCTTCTCACCATTCTTCCCCTCCATTCCCATGTGAACGGCCCCCACTCTCAGGCTGCTTGGACCTAGCACCAAAGCGGAGCTTGAGTCATGCTGAGAAATGCCTGTCTCAGAACGTGACACATGCAAAGAAAGGTGTAGGGAGGTGGTCCCCATCAAACTCCTTTTTTAAACATGACTGCATTCAGTGGTTTCAGGATAGTGTGGTCTCTTCCCCATCGCTTGCTAGTGTCTGTTCATTGTTCCTGTAGGCTGTCCTACATTTTAAAAGCATGTCCTTGTAGGGACAACCTTAGGCAGCAAGACATAATGGAAAGGACACAGGCTCTGCAGAAAAAGAAAGATCTGGGTTTGTAAACCAGCTCCGCCTTCACTTCTCCAAGTCTCAGTTTTTCTCTCTGTGAATTAGGGATTTTCTACTTGCTTCCCTTGAGTCTTATACATGAACTAACTTACGGGAAAACACCCAGCATAATGCTTGGCACCCAGTAAGTGGTCACCGTGGCTTTGATAGTTGCTCTTCGGAGAGACTTGTGCAGAGCAGAGGCAGATACTCTCCGAGGCTTTCCAGAATCCTGACCAGGATGTGCCTCATTTGTAAGATGACGGTGTTAGATGGCATCTAAGTGACTAGTCTTTTTTTTCTCAGGTGCCCCGCGTTACATTGCATTAGCATAAGTGACACAGTCCTATGAGTGCAACCCGGATTTTGACAAAATCCAGCAGTGGGTGGGGGGAATAACATATTAAATCCTTTTGACTCCCACCCTCATTAACAAGGCGGCAGGAGCCAGCCAGCCCATGGGTCATGTGTGATCCCAGCCTACCCGCTGTTCCAGGGTGTGTGCTCTTGAGCTCAGGAAAGCTCATTCGGGTGCACGTGACTGAGGATGCTGACATCATAGGGACAGCTTCGAGTCTGCCCTGGTTTGTAGGCACAGCAAATCTTTCCCATGTGGCAGTGCTGTAACTTGCAGCAACTACGGATGGTTAGCTACGGATGATGAAGTTCACAACTTCTCACACGCCGTGTGCAAAACCGCTGTTACATATGGTGCTCATGTGTAAATTAGAACAAGGCTCCCCTGCTTACTTTTCTTTGGCTGTGGCATCACTGACAGTGTGATCTAGACCTTGATGCATGGCATGGCCCGGGGCTCAGTGCCCTTCACCTGTGGCTCCTCTGTTGTGCCCTGATACCCACATCTCTCCAGCACTGCTTACGTTTTCCCAGCAAAACTTCTTTCCTTTTTGAGTAAATTTATTTATTATACAAGTAACATGTTTTAGAAAATCCAAAAAACAGTCCTACATCAGGGTGTATATACATATATATATTTCTCAGTAATAATAATTACAGCAAGTATAAAGTCATTCAATATAAACTGTGCAAGTCTTACTGTTGAACACAAAATAAGTGTTTGTAAAGTCCTAAATATTCACCTTTATTTAGATACAGTAATTTATTTTAAAGTAATTATGTTTTGCTTTCATAAAACTGTACTCTTTATGATAGTTTCAATCTTTTTGCTGCTGTATCTCTCTTTAGAAATCTCTCACTAGATTTGACTGTCCTTCTTGTGACATGGTAGACCTTGAACTTAGAATGTTCAATATTTTAAAACACTTTGTAACAAGCCACAAAATTTTAACAGCATGTAATCTTTGCACTGAAAAGATTTTCATTAAAAACGAAAGCAATATATGGCAATGTAATATTTTACTTTATGTATTATTGATGGTAAATGGATATTAATAGTTATATAGTAATTCATGTCATCATGAAGTACTTATTAAAATTAAATAGGGAGTTGGCAATAAACTTCTGGTGGAAGGCTTGTAAAATGTAACCAGTATACTAATCCCATGGAGACATTTTCTTAAAATAAGTATTTTGTACCAGACCAAAAAATGGCCACTTATTTAAAAGTGCAATTTATGTTAGATGCTATGTACATATCTAGCAACATCTAACATAAACTGTGCTTCTAAGATTAACCAAATGTTTCATTTATCAAATGGGCTCCCTCTTCGTAATTTGGGAGGTGAATGATATATATCAATTTTGGAAGCAGGATATTATGTTTCTATCTAAAAGTTACAACAGGCTGATTTTGTCAGAGTAAGAAATGTTTCAGCCACCTGCTGGAAACTTTGTTGTGACATATACATAAATTGCCCTTCTTTGGAGTCAACAAATATTTTAAAAAACCTTCAAAATAATGCCGATGTGAAAAGTGTTCCCTTAGGTGTGGTGCTTTTTCTGTGGCATTACCTGACCACCAGGGTGGGACAGCCCTGTTGTGTTGAGACTGTAAGGCCAGGAACCTTACAGAAAGAATAGGGTCTCGACTCTGAGCCCTTATCCTTTCTAAAGCACTAGCATCTGCCGAAACGGTCTTTTGCCTATTTCACTTCAAGATCCTTAAGGCTCAAAATTGTTTTTCCTTTTTTTTTTTTTTTTCTTGAGTTGGGGTCTCACTCTGTGTTCTCACTCTGTCACCCAGGCTGGAGTGGAGTAGTAGTATGATCACGGCTCACCACAGCCTCAATCTCCTGGGCTCAAGTAGTCCTTCTGCCTCAGCCTCCTGAGTAGCTGGAACTACAGGTGTGCTCCTCTACACCCAGCTAATTTTTTTTTATTTTTGTAGAGATGAGGTCTTGCTATTTTACCTAGGCTGGTCTCAAACTCCTGGGCTCAAGCAATCCTCCTGCCTTGGCTTCCCAAAGTGCCAGGATTACAGATGTGAGCCACCATATCCGGTGCTTACTTTTCTTTGGCTATGGCATCACTGACAGTGTGATCTAGACTTTAATCCATGGCATGGCCTGGGGTTCAAGGGCCTTCATCTGTGGCTCCTCTGTTGTGCCCTGATACCCATATCTCTCCAGCACTGCTTACGTTTTCCCAGCAAGATGTCTTTCCTTTTTGAGGAATCTATTTATTATATGAGTAACATGTTTTAGAAAATCCAGATGCACAAAAAGAAAGAAATGAAAATTACCTGTGATCTCACCACCCAGAGAACTCCCACCTAACATCCATCACATTTCCATAGAGACTTTGTTTCAAGCTTGTCATGAGCACAGTATGTAATGTTGACATGAATGGCGTCTTGGCCATATCTTGTAATCCTGTCTTCATTTCCTGTACAAGCACAGGTTAATGTCAGTAAATGCACTTCTACAACATTATTTTAGATGTGGATTGTCATCCTTCTAGCCAAAAGTACTTAAGTTGGACATGCAGGTACTCGCAA